TAAATAGAATATTACCGGATTATTCATAGGTTAGGCTATGACTCTTGGAGAATTTCTAGGGTTCCTCCAATTGAGCAAAGCACCATAATTACATAACCAAAAAATATTACAAAATAAGCCTAGTTCTTAAGCGTCAAAAGAGCTATTTTTGAGCACTTCAAACTAATACTAATAGTACCGAAAGCGAAAAAGATTAGTATCGAAAGCTAAGGGATGGATGCTCAAAAGTATAAAATCGACAGTACTTACACAATGAATGATGAGTGTTTTTCTGCATTGCAGAATTCGACGCAATAGTAGGATTCGCGGAATAATATGCTTCTTAATTGCATCCTTGCCCATGCTATACACGAGTTACATTTGCAATCAAAATACAATATTATTTTGAAAAAAGTATCACAATTTAGGGGTGCGATAAATGTAAGTGTGTGTATTTTTTTTTGTAATTTAGATGTGATTTAAATGTTTTAATGAATGTCTGTTGAGTACCTGTTAGAAAAATTTTTTCTTTTAAATCTAGGATCGAGCATAAGAAAATCAACTAATATAATACAAATAACTAGTCAAATTCGAGATTGTATTTTAGGGAAGTTAATTCTCAATATTAGTTCAGAAGAACCACAACAGAAAAACTAATAAGAAGTATACTGATTTTGGCGAGTAATATTCACGAATATGAGAACATAGCAGCAAAGCACGACTATAAAAACCACAATAGAAAGAAAAAAATTGAGATTATATTTTTAGTTTGTACATATGTTGAATTTTCTAAATGATATCGCACTAGATCCAGATTTTGTGAATGCCTTATGGTTATTAACGTGAAACGATTTGAGTTGAGAATTTAACATATGATCGATAATGCTCTTCGCTATGTGTAGTCCTGAACATAGAAATATAATATGGTATTACAAAAGAAAATTTAAAAAATACTTGTCTTGTTATAGGATAAGAATCACACAATGGAAATGCTTAACTTTGTTACACAAGTTAAAAAATATTAACATGCATGTAGTTATTTGTGCTCCATTCTAAGAAATTATTACATTAAAAATTCCAATAATTCCAATACATAGAGCGAGAGAGGGAATTGAGAAGCACCAATGCACTATGCGGGTCCCAATTTCTTTGGAGAACAGTACATTTTGCTTGGAAAAGTAAAGATGGAAAAATTAAGGATTTGTTATGGTATTTATTTTATTGGGAAAGTTCTTTAATGTGTTGTTTAAATTATTTAATTATTTACAGTTTCCTTAATTTGTTGTTAAAATCATTAAATCGTTTATAGGTATTTTTACTAACAGTTTGTCTAACAAATGCCTATAGGGCACTTTTTAAAATATATTTCAGGTGTTATATTTTTGAAAATATAAAACGAATTAAGAAAAGTAAATGAATACAAGAGAGGGTAGGTAAGATTAATAAGGAAAGTATATAATTGCAAGAGAGAATAATAATTGTTAGTCTCGTTAGGAAAACACTTTTATTAATATTTGACCTATTCCACAAATGTTTCCTTAATTTGGTATTTAAGTTTAGGGGTGTAAACAAACCTAATCAAATTGAACATGCTAATGTTCAATCTTGATTATTTTAATGAGGCTGAAATTTGTTAAAATTTCATTTGTTTATTTACTGAATTGAGCATGAACAGGCTTTTTATCTAGCTTGAAAATTATCAAATATAAAACATTATTCAATCTTGATTTGATTAGTTGGTGAACCAAGTTCGAATGAATTCTTATCAAGTTTCGAATAGTTTGATTTGCCTTTCACCTCTATTTAAGTGATTAGATAATCTTATTTATTTTTGTTAAGGTTAATAAAAGAATAAAGGAATTGGGGGAGATTTTATTAATTAAGGTTCATAACAATTAGTTGTTCACTATAATTTTGGTAAAACTAACCAATCTTAGATATGACTATTTAATTTTGATAAGGTTAACAAAAACAAAGTTCAAACCAACTCGCCTTGGGTGAGTTGGCTACTAGGTAAAGTATAAAGTAAAAGTATGATTGCTTATCAGAGGTTCAAACCTTTGCACCTGCAATAAAATTTAAAGTGTGCACAGTAATGCATCCCTTTGATCTAGAGAGACGAATTATTCCATCTGGCCTCCACCAACTCAGTTGGGTCCTCCCCTAAATAGGTAAAAGTAGGAGTGTTGTAAAAATTGATGATTGACAAAAAGAATAATGAAAAATAAAGTTTAAGGTTTTTTTTTCGTTCGTCGGTGAGAGGTCTTGAGCTGTTGAACTTAAGACACCATACTTACAATTTTCCCTACCTTACTACCCAACCCAACTCTTCCCCAAGTTAAAGGTAGTAAAATCTTAGGCAATCAACATTTCTTGCTATTTTGATGTGTCACGTTTGGAAGATTACGCTTTTAGGGACTAAATTGAATTAATAAAGGCTAATCTTTAGATTCAATCCAAATAAAAGGCATTGATGATATTTTTATCAATGGTCTATTTAACGAGTGCCCAATTTATATGTACTTTAAGGTGTTAGATTTTTGGAAAAAATAAGATTAATTAGGAAAAATATATATATGCAAAAAATGCTATTAATTATTTTAGTATGTATATATACATGGTAGGTCAGGTGTAATTTAAGTACGTTAATGAATATCCAATGGGCACATGTTACAAAAACTCTTTTATCAATTAAAATGAATCAAAATTTGAGAGAAAAGAATGGAAAGTTGAAGCCTCATTGGCAGGTTTAGATTTAAAAGTCTTCTTCAAATATATACGTGTGTATTATAGACTGAGGATACTAATCAATGATCAATAAAGTATCAATCAATCAGTTAGATACCAATCAATCATGGGAAGATTCCAATCATTTTCAGATCTAGAAAAATATTTCCAAAGCAGTACAATTTGAAAAAATATACACTTTCTAATATATTTGATGCTACATGAACTTTTACTGCAAGTTATTGAATGCAAATATGTCCTTCTACATTTATATGATACCCTATCTTTATTCTTTCTCCCTTTTTTTAGACATTGCAGGATATATTTTATTATATGAGGTGCACCAAATCAACTTTATATAATAATAATTCCAAACTTCATTGTTCCAAAGTGTTTTCTGTACAAGACTTTCAATAGCATAAATCCTTTGCGTTTGTTTAACTATTGATAATAGAATGATTATTTTTTCATGCAAAACAATAATTTGAATTTGGGATACATTTTCCTCTTCTTTTGTCATTGACAGTGGTCTGTATCGTTGCGTGATCACACAAATTATATGAAGCACTATGGTTCTCTTGATATTTTTCTTTAATCTAATGCACCAGTGATCAAGCATTTTAAGACATGGTTTTCATTTTTTTTTTCAAATATATCTCCATAAAATTCCTATCTTTTTTAGTTGAGTTTTCCTTGCTTTCCTTCCCTTCTTAGTAAGATAGTATATCCTTATACAATTAACTTTTTTTAGTAGACCTTTTTCTTTACTGAGGTTTATCCTTATAGAATAATTTTAGTGATAAATTCTTATAGGTAATTTGTCTCACATTATTTTTAAGAAGGCATATAGTTCAGGGTTTGAATTCTCCGAGTTGGGGGTGTAAAGGATATGGGGAGGGATAGGAGGATAAAAAAAATTAGAAGAAGTAAAATATTGTTAAGGAAAAATTGGGAGCCTATTTCGTAAAGGGGAAAAAAAAGGGAAAGTTTGAAAAGTCTTACTGGGATAGATTAAAAAATTTAAGATATAAAGTAGGGATAATTTTAGAAACCTCCCTAGATGTTTGTGGCAATATCAGTTGGTACCCATAAAACTTTGAAAAATCTCACATTCCTCCCTTATTTTCAACTTTTTGTAACATTATCAGCCCAATTCAAAAAATATTTTTAAGAAACTCACATTTGGAGAGAGGAAATATTGTCATGCCAAAATTGCCGTCATGTTATCCTACTATTTTTCATTTCAAAAGTGAATGTACATTACTAAAAGACCGAAAATAAAGACAAATAGTGTGAAAACATAGTTCTAAGAGAAAAAAATTACATTATTAGGTATTTTTAAAGTACAAAAGATTACTATTTAAGAGTATGTTTACGGTGCTTCAAGTCAGAAAAATTTATTTCCTTAAATGTAATGTGTTTTCTTTAATTTGAAAAGTTTTATAAATTTAAGAATTTTTGAATTTTCTAAATTTTTTTTTGTATAGACCAATGATTTGAATATTAGAAACAAACACAATGTCTAAACTTATACTTACAAACTCATTTGAGGTATTTTTAAAAATGTAAAAGTAACTTTTTTTAATTACAAAATATTTTTGAATGAATTTAGAATTTTATAAATTTTTTTAATGTTCTAATTTTTTGTCTAAATCAATAGCTTGAAAACAAGAGAAAGATATATTATTAACAATATATTTAGAAGCTTATTAGAGATATTTTCAAGGTGCAAAATGTTATTCTTTTGCTAGTTATAATAATTTTTTCTTTTAAATTTCATGTCCGGACAAATGACTTTAAAAATTACAGCAGGTATTTTAACCTCAATAATATGTTGTAATTTTTAAGGATTTAACATGGTTTGTTATGAAAACTAAAGGCCCACAAGAAAAGGGCAATTTTGGAATAGAAATATTTTACCTCTCCCAAAATGTGTTTTTAAATTGAATCTTTTGAAATTGGTTGATAGTGTTACAAAAAGTTGAAAATAAGGGAAATAGGTGAGATTTCTTAAAATTCAAGGATATCAAGTGATATTATCACAAATCCTAGGAGAGGTTTCTGAAATTATCCTTATAGAATATCTTAAACTAAATATCAGGATATCGAGTAAGAATTGATGTAAAGGATAAGGAGCAATGGAGCCCAAAGTCCAGGCAAAACATTTTCTTTAACGAATAGTAGGAAAAAGGGAAAAGAAAACAATTTTTTTTTTTAAACATAGGAAAAGAAAACAATTTTAAAAAGGCATAGAATAAGCCAAAATGGACGTACGTAAGTCAAATCTTCTAGTTTCCGCTGAGGGGTAACCAAAGAACACCACTCAGCTACCTTGACCTTGAGAACGACTCCTTAGTTCTTACTCCTCCTTCCTCATTAGGAAATGTGGTAAACATTACCGTTTTCGTCAGAGAGATAGATTAAAGAGATCTTGATGAGCAATGCAAGGTTGACAGAAGAAAGAAAAAGAAGCTTTTGATTTCAGTTTGGATGAATATTCTCTAGTCAACCATATTGCACGGTGCACATCTCATACTCAACTCTCCAGATCAGTATAAATACGAGATTGTTCTCAAGTCAACCTCACATTCAACTGGGAGAGAAAAGGGTTTGTTGTTGAAGATTCTTGAGAGGTGGTTTGGAAAATTCAGCCCCAGTTGGAGAAACTGGGAAATCCCCGAGGAAAACAAGATCCCAGGTTAGCTAGAAGTTGACTTTTTGGGGGATTATTGGGCACAGATTTTCAAGATAATTAGAGTTTACTGCTTCAATATTGGTCTTGCCTTAGGATCTTTGTAGATTTTGATGGGGGAGGAAGAAGAACTTCCAATTTATGCTGAGCAAGTGCAGCAAAATGAGCATGGAAAGGGGATCTGCAGTTGCTGCTATTGTGTGCCAGTGCATTGGCTCAGAAAGCTAGCTAGGGAAATGCATTGGAGTTTTGTGTTTGGAGTTGTGATTGTTTATGGGATAAGCCAAGGACTTGGTGGAGGTTTTGCGAGACTTGGAACAGAGTACTATATGAAGGAAGTTCAGAAGGTGCAGCCTTCTGAATCTCAGGTTTACCTAGGAATAACCAATATTCCTTGGATTGTTAAGCCTCTTTGGGGTCTGCTCACTGATGTTGTTCCCATTTTGGGGTATCGTCGGAGACCTTATTTCATTTTAGCTGGTAACACTATGCTAGTAGCATTTCTATCTATGCTGCAGAATTAAGATTAGATTGCCTTTTAGTTTGTTGCCATGTTATTTATAGTTCTTCACTATCTGCTCCATCAGCCATTTTTGCAGTCTTGTAGTTGAGTAATATCTATCAAAACTTGACACATATCAGGAAAGGTGTAAATTTAAGTATATAATAGCATCTTAGGATTGAAAATTCCATAAGAAAATACGGCTAAGGATATGACTCATGCTTTCCTATTCTTTATGCTTCTTCAAAGTTTAAGACCTAATAATATGTCAGGATGAAAAATAGGTGGCCTGAATTGAGGAATGACGAAAGGTGTAAATTTAAGTTTTTAATAGCATCTTAGGATTGAAAATTTCATAAGAAAAAACGGCTAAGGATATGACTCATGCTTTCCTATTCTTTATGCTTCTTCAAAGTTTAAGACCTAATAATATGTCAGGATGAAAAATAGGTGGCCTGAATTGAGGAATGAGGAAAGGTGTAAATTTAAGTTTATAATAGCATCTTACGATTGAAAATTCCATAAGAAAGTACGGCTAAGGATATGACTCTTGCTTTCCTATTCTCTATGCTTATTCAAAGTTTAAGACCTAATAATATGTCAGGATGAAAAATATGTGGCCTGAATTGTCAAGAAAATACTTTTTCTTAATAGTGTTTCCTCCATCCCCTCCTTGCCCCACTTAACAGTGGAAAGGAATAAAGAACAGTACAGAAGGAGAATGCAGAAGTATTTTTGTGAAAAATACCTGATATAATTGATGACTAATATGGAGCTTACTAGGAAATGCACTTTGGAAACATACTGCTATGTGTTCATGATTCTTCTTTTTCCATTAAAGCTCCAAAGGTTTTTCAAGGTAAGCTTGCAAGCTTATTGAATGTGTTACTTACCAAGAATGAAAGAACGAAAAAGATAAAATTATACCTTTTTTAGGCTTCTCTAACCATAGATGTCCTTTATGTAAGTGCTTTACTTTGATCAAACTTTCATAATATAATTATTTGGCTTATTCCATTTTGCTTCTAGAATGAGAAAGTAATTAATCTTCTTTAAACTGGAATACTAAAGATTTGGCCCTCTGCTATTATCATCATGAAGTGCAATGTTAAGATTGGCTTGTGCCTAATCAGATGAAATTAGAATATTCTGCTATATTTTGTCGGCTTTTATGATGTTCATTCCTGTGATACTCATGTGTGCTGATGCTATTTCATGGCTATTAGTGTCATACGTTTGATGATTTACCCTTTTTTATATCTTGACAGTCTATGGTAGTAGCAGATATCTGTGTATGCCTTTTACTTCCATGTGCTTGCTGTGTCCATTGGGTTACTAGACATGCAGTCGAGATATATGACTCTCTCTTCTCTGCATTTCTTCTCCATTGGACTATTTACAGAATTGCCGAGGCATTCACAAGTAGTAAACATGCACCTCACATAGTCTTAACTGGCTTGGTTTTCCCCTCATAGCTGCTAATCCTTACATTTCCCGCTTGCATAGGACCATAATCATGACAAGAAAATGAATGATCTGCAGAACATTGCTTGACTCCTAAATTCATAACTGTTTATGTGTATTTCTACTAAAACAAACAAAAACAAGCAGGACTAGAGGTATGGTTTTGTACATGCATTGCATTTTGGATGGAGAAAAACTACAGTAAACTAGCTGAGGAAATGCATCAAAGAGAACTACCAAATATTGAAAGCTTTTGTCATCCATTAAATGTCCTGTCTCTTATTTGAAGGAAAACTCTGATGTCTCAAGGTGATTAAAAGATAGAAATAGAAAAACAAAGAAGCTTGTGTCTTTTTGTCTGGTCATAAGATGTGGAATTGACATGGCATGAGATTTAAAGCGCACATCATTATACTGTATATAGTTGAATAAGCAATATCAATTATCAGAGTATCTTTTCTTCTCTTGGGGCTGATAGTATGAAGACTTAGGCTGAAATGTGATTGTTATATGTTTCTATGCTTATATACCCATTTTGTTTGACTACAAGACATTATATGGGTAACTATGGTCTGCTTATTTGCTTCTTGAGAAGTTATCTACTTCATCAGCTTATCAGTAAACAGGGTTAATCATCAAAGATCCATTGTTAACCTGGTGTATACTTCAGTATTTGACACAGATGTGTGGTGGACTGGTTAGATAAAATGAACTTCTTGTTTTTCTTTTATGGTTCATCACATATGAGCAGCAGATGGTATTGCATTCCATGATAAATGAGAAATGCCTGTGTCTGCTCAAATATCCTTATGGTTAACTAGCTTTTGCTAATTCCTATGCATGCATTTAGTTGATAACTGCTCAACTGAAGCAGGACCTCTAAGAAGAGAAATGCTTTTGGTTTTTTTCAGGTTTTGTTGGAGTTATCTCCATGCTGTTCTTGTCATTGCACAAGAATCTGCATATTGTATATGCATTGCTGTTGATGACTGCAGGAAGTGCTGGAGTGGCAATAGCAGATGTTACTGTTGATGCTTGTGTGGCACAGAATAGTGGTACCCATCCTTCCCTTGCAGCTGACATGCAAAGCTTGTGTGCTTTAAGTTCTTCTATTGGTTCACTGGTTGGATTCTCTTTAAGTGGTATCTTTGTTCACTTAATTGGCCCCAACGTAAGCTTTTCTTCTACTCTGGTTGAATTCTCTTTAAATGGTATCTTTGTTCACTTAATTCGCTTAAAATTGTTCTTTTGACAAACAAAAGGGGGTGTTCGGCTTGTTGTCCATACCAGCTGGGCTTGTCTTGTTAGTTGGTGTTTTGCTCAAGGAACCACAGATGCCAAACTTTGCTTATCAACAGGTGCTCATAGTCCCCTTTAACTATCTGATTTTGATTCGATTTAAACACTTACATCCTGTTCCATCATCAGGTAAGTCTGAAGTTTCTTGATGCTGCTAAAGCTATGTGGAATACACTGATATGCCCAAATGTGTGGGGACCATGTTTATATATGTACTTATCCTTTGCATTAAGTTTAGACATCTATGAAGGAATGTTCTACTGGGTTACTGATCCAGAGGCAGGTCCAGCTTTGTCTAAGGTATATTGACTTCTCAATCTTTGTTAGTCATGACATTGAGTTAAAAGCCAAGAATGTTGCTACAATTACAAAACATCTTTGAAACTTTTACAGGTGAATGAACAAATGTCTGTATTGCATTTTGCATAAAACACATTTGGCATTTGCTATGAGCTGCAGGCATAGTGGGAATTTGTTTTTTCCTCAGTTTCAGGGAGTCATAACACTCTTTACTGGTGCAAATAAATTACTCTGCCTTTGTTCAAGTGACTTTGTAGGGGGGGGTTGGGGGGTGGGGGGGAGCCAAGGGCTGGATTGAATGCAGTACATGGAAAATCTAGACTTGAACAAGAACAATTTACTACAACTGGAATCTTCATGATCTCATTTTCACTTTTTTTTTTTGGTGGTGGGTTTTGCACAATATATTAGGCAGCATTTACCTTGCAATTTATGCAGTTTAGGCCCCTAATTGTAAATTTTCCCCATGCAGGAGAGCATGGGTTTTGTTATGGCAGTTGGCTCTGTTGGCTCTCTTTTAGGAGCTGTTCTGTATCAGTACGGATTGAAAAATCATCCCTTTCGGGACCTACTCTTCTGGACTCAGTTACTATATGGCTTATCAGGAATGCTGGATTTGGTGCTGGTTCTGCGCTTGAACTTACAATATGGGATTCCTGATTATTTCTTTGTGGTAATTGATGCAAGTGTTTCTCAGATGATTGGACGGCTTAAATGGATGCCGCTTCTAGTTTTAAGCTCCAAACTTTGTCCTCCTGGAATAGAAGGAACCTTTTTTGCCTTGCTAATGTCAATTGACAATGCTGGACTTATGTCATCCTCATGGGTTGGAGGCTTCTTGCTTCATATACTGAATGTCACAAGGACAAGATTTGATAATCTCTGGCTGGCCATTTTGATTCGGAACTTCTTGAGAATCGCTCCACTAACTCTGCTGTTTCTGGTCCCTAGAGCTGATCCCAATGCTTCCATTCTTCCAGACGAAGTTACAAGCTCAAAAGAGCGCTCTGAACCTACAGTAACAGAAAATGTTGAACTTGTTAGCCTTGTTAAAGAGGCAGATGATTAGTTAGGCTTAGCATATATCAGGCCTTAAAATGGTAAGATACTATAGTTGATATACACGGATATTCAAGAAACAGGCTTAAATTTTCTCTGAGATTCTTCCCATTTTACAATTTCAGATTTAACAATCTTCAACATTCATTGTATTTCCAGTCATATAATGTCACGGATGTCTTGTTCTAAACAATCAAGTTGCAGAGGATGAGAAATTAGTGAAAGAACAGAGCTTTTTACTTCTCGACTCCGTTTTAAGTGTGTTTGATAACTCCGTCAAGGAAATCGATGTATACTGTTCCATATTCAGATTTTTTTTCCCTGTAAAAACATGTTCTAATTAATCATATATATTTTGTAGTAATTTGTTGGTGATTGGACTATGCTGTGAAAAGTGTACTACTCTGTTAATTGCCACATAGACTCTAGGATTAGCCACAGTGGACAAAAACGGATTAAAGCATCTTCAACAACTCTTTTCCATTTGACCACTTGACACCTTCCATATTTTTTCCTTAGTTAAAACCTTAACTGCTGCTAGAGCATAAATTTTGAGTACAACCTCTCAAACATCAAAGAATTATTGTTGGTGATGTTTAATAGTTGAAATCTCGTTCTCGCAAACAAAAAGGTAATCAAAAGCATCTTCTCTTTTGTTTCTTAATTGAATAAATATCAAAATATTCTGATGGGCCCTGGAAAACCTTGACTAATGGTTGCTTAGAAATAATTCTTTCCACCATGTGTTTGATGAAATATCCAGGAGAAAAAACAAAGGTAGGAAGACATAGCGTACATGATACGAATATTGCAGCAAAATTACATGGGAAGAATCAAATTTACGTTACCTTTTCCTTCCTTTAAAATAAAAAAATTTCCAGCTTTTAGTTCATTTTTTAGTGATTAAATTTCATACAACGGACTTCACCGGAGGTGAGTAGATTGAACTTTCCTTTTCTTGCTATCGTCCGCGTGGCTGATTGGATGACCATGTGGCAGAAAAAATGTTATTTTGGGCATAAAATTTAGAGTTGAATAATTTTGGGTATATTTTTTAGAAAAAGGATTATTTTGGCTAAAAACTCTGCCAGAGGGGTCCAAAGGGATACCATTAATAGGGTTTTCAAGCGTTATTTTTTAGAAAAGTGAAATTAGATTAGGAAAATTTTTAAATTTGAGGTGGATAATAAATATGAGCATGTATTTATATGATAAATTTATGTGTAAATATACATCGTAGTCTTCTGACAAGGGAAAAGTGACAGGATTGATTACTACCAAAAGCTTTCTCTTGCGTATTAAATGAAAGATAGCCTAAATGATCCGAGTTGATCATATCGATTAGAAAATCAGGTGCAAATGTGTATCTTGACATGGCGGATGGAGAAATCAGGGATACCTATTTTTTTTTATCCACTTTGTCTTACAATTTGAGCAAATGCAATAATTTTGGAAGAATTTCCAAGATTGAAGTATTATGAGATGTACATAACAAAAATTTATTATGCAAAATGGAAATAGGTGGAAACCCTGTGTAAAATTGTATAATTTCTTAAACGGTGTGATTAATCATCCTATAAAAATTCATTAAGGTCCCGGTTGAAAATACAAAATTAATTGAAAATGAAATATGCCCAAATCATCCATTTTTTAATTTTTTGGTTTTAATGTTAATGTAAATAACGCTAAATAATATAGCATTCAACACATTTCTGAAATAACTTTATATTATTTCTTGAACTTGTTCTGAAGTCTTTGTTCAGAACTAAATTAGAGCCAGGTCTTTGTTAGTAATGGATATCCAAAATATTAGTTCTTGGTTAGTACCGGAGTTTTTTTTTAAAAAAAATTTCTTGTTTTTGCTACTTGCAGAATGTCTGTTTTCCTTTCTTCTTGGTTGATTTTCTTTTTTGTGCACATTAATATGCAATCTGCTAACTTGCTTCATATATTGTCACTTGGGGAAACAATTTGTTTCTGAGTTGGAAACAGGTAAAAACACTCAATGTTAAGGTAAAGATTTGGAACAGACATTGAACCTCAATATATTTCATGAACCTTTTAGCATTTATAGGTACCGGAATTTCATTCCAAGCAAATCATAGGATTGTATGGTTTCAAGAGCTATTACCGCACATTAGATATGCGGTTTCAAAAAAAAATTCAAATCGCTGCAAATCAGATATGCAGTTTGAAAAAAAAATTCAGATAAGTTGAATTTGCGGCGATTTTCCAGCCGGTTGATCAATGGTCCACAAATTTGGCCGCAAATTTAATGTGCGGCATTTAAAAAAAAATTTTCATTCACTGCAAATTTTGTGTTCAGCAATATAAATAAAACAACTTTTTTTTGCACCTTCAAATCACGATCGTTGATCAAATGTTAATCAATGGTCCATCTATGGCTAAAATAAAACATTTAGCCGAAAATCTTACCTTAAAAAAAATTCTTAACTTGTTCAAAAAAATTCCAAAAATAAATTGAATTTATTTTGCGCCAATATTGGCAGTTGCGACGACCCTTATTTCAGACACGAACCCTACATAACACCACATTTGAGATGATTGTGTGTATCAACATTATTCTGAGAAATTCTTTAATGTGGATTCGTACTTTAAAAAAAATGATAGCCTTGATGTTGTCCTTGGTCATGATGAGGCAACTGAGTTATTGGTCTTATTCGGCCTTAACAGAACATCCATAGATCCACTACATCTTCCTCCTTCGTTCCATGATTGTTACCCTACTCCTTAATCACGAAAAATTAAAAATTAACTCAAAAATTTTATAGGAATGGGGAGATTAATTTCATTGTAAAACCCACGTTTTTTTTATTATTCAATTTTATTTTTCTCATTAATTCTGTGGTAATTTTCCTATGGGTAAAAAGTAAAAGACTTGTAAAGAATGTTAAGGGGTTAATTGGGGATTAAGGAGGAGATAAGAAAGGATAAGTTAAAAAAAAATCTCCAATCACGTAACCACCATGTAGTGGGTAGTTATTAGAGATTTAAAACACTTATCTAAAAAAATTAAAGAAACAACATTGTTCTTAATTCTCATTATCTTCATTCCCTTAGAGCAAGAACCATCTAAAAATAGAGAAGGAGAAGAAAACGTCATCGTTGATCAAGCAAGCAACTAAGCATCTAGACCAGTAAGTCCCTAACGTACATTAAAAATTTTCCTTTTAAGTCTTGTTAATTTCATGAATTATTTTAATGATTTTACATATATGTATATTAGGATATATATATACACCTGTTACGAGAAATTTAGGAAAATTCATGTCTAGATTAGTAGGAATATTGTGTTAAATTTTAAATATGTGATGAAGCGGTGATGATGATGTAATTAGGGTTTTGGAAATTTTGGTTTGTGTTGGAGTTTGATTCTAGAAATTTGAGGAAGAGGAAGAAGACTTGTTTGTGGAAAATGGGTCAAAATACAGGTCACGGGTCGGGTCTAACCGAGTAGTATTTTAGAAAATGGATTGAGTGTATAAGTTAAGTAAATGGGTCAGATTTAAATAACTAGAACCGGACCATTTATAAATGGACTAGTATTGCTTCGTTTAGTTGGATGTTTGGGGCCGAAGTTAAATGGGTGGTGGGATAAAAATTAGAAAACAGAAAAAGGAAATCGTTGGGCTAAACAATCATATTAGACTGGAAATAATTGGTAAGCCCAATAGTCTTTAATTGAATAAACCCATGAATAAAGTCTAGGCTAATAATATAGGGTATACATGTTATTAAACAATAAGCCCAACATAATACGATTTAAAGAAGGTGCAAAACCTATGAGATAATTGCAAATGAGACTAAATCCCCTAATTATGAAAGTGGTAAAAATGGAAATAGTCAAGTTGTTGGATGTGGAGATGATTTATGCCATCTCTGATAGCCTATGGGTGAGCCAGTGCAAGTAGTTCCAAAAAAACCCGGAATCACCGTAGAACCTAATAACAATGGAGAACTTGTTCCTGTTCGCAAATTAATGGGATGGCGGCAATGCATCGACTATCAGAAGCTAAACGCCGTCACCAAAACAGACCACTATCCTCTTCCTTTTATTGATCAAATGATTGAAAGATTAGCTTGTCTTGCTTACTACTACTTTTTGGATGGTTTTTCAGACTATTTTCAGATGGTAAAGCACCAGAGGACCAGGAGAAAACTATTTTCACACACCCATTCGGTACATTCGTGTATAGAAAAATGTCCTTTGGATTTGTTACGCTCCTGCGATTTTTCAGATGTGTATGGTAAGTATTTTTTTAAATATGTTGAGAAAATAATAGAGGTTTTTATGGATAATTTTAGTGTTTAGGGAGATAGTTTCAATGAATGCCTTGAGAATTTGACTTTAATTCTTAAAAGATGTATTGAAACTAATCTTATGCTTAATTGAAAAAAATGTCACTTTATGGTTGAGTATGGGATAGTTTTAGATCATGTAGTATCATCTAAGGGTATTGAAATTTGATAAAATAAAAATAGATCTCATATCTTCCTTACTGTATTCCACTAGTGTGCGGGAAGTGCATTTTTTTTGGAACATGCAGATTTTTATCGCAGATTTATCAATAATTTTTTCAAAATTAGAGTGCCACATGACATTTGATTTTGATGAGGAGTGCAAGAAGGCGTTCGATTGCTTGAAGGAGTTGTTGATTTCCCCACCAATCATACAACCTACAGATTGGAACCTCCCATTCGAGATCATGTGTGATGCAACTGATAGCACAGTAGGGATTGCATTGGGCCAAAGGACCGGAAAGGCTGCACAGGTGATCTATTATGCATTTAAAACTTTGAGTGGAGTTCAACTCAATTACACGACCACGGAAAAAGAGCCTTGAGCAATTATTTTTTCTTTAGCAAAATTTCGCTCTTATTTGCAAGAAGTTAAAGTGATTGTGTATTCTGACCATACAGTGCTACGGTACCTATTGACCAAGAAGGATGCTAAACTAAGATTAATCAAGTGGATTTTACTTCTACAAGAATTTGATTTGGAGATTCGTGATAAGGAAGGAGCTGAAAACTTAGTAGCAGATGATTTAAGTCGCTTACCCGTTGTTAAAGACTATTTCATAATAAAGGAGACCTTCCCTGATGAGCAACTGTTCTCTACTTGTTCTTCTCTCCCTTGATATGCAGATAATAGTTCAGTCACTAATCAATTGCCTGTAGGTTGGTCTAAGGCACAAAGAGATAAGTTTAGGAGTGATGTTAAGTATTACTTGTGGGATGACCCCTACTTATGGAGACAGTGTGTGAATCAAGTATGGCGAAGATATGTA